CTAAAGTAAAAAAAAAATACACAAATCAATAATATCTATTACATGCCTCAAGTTCAAACTTCTCGGAAAAGCGGGAAAAGGTCATAAAAAACAGAAACAATAAATAGGGTTGTATGTAATAAACAGCCTACAATCTACAAAATTAATCTACAAGGAGATAAAATAATTTTAGAATCCGTGAGTGGGGAAATAAGCTCGAAATAATTAAGTAGAGGAGGAAGGGGGGGAGGGGGAGGAGAAGGCGTTTATTTTTCTTTAAAAAGTATTCAAAAACAGTTTTAACTTTTATATATATATACACAAATATATTAGTAAAAAACACATTTAACTATTTTCTTCTACCGAATTCATCTGACATTAGAAATAGAAGTTCAATCAGAAATCTTCCAGATGAGTACTATTAGTGATCATGCCATGAGATTATTATTAACTTATTATATTCTAAGAGCTTGTGACTGCCAGATCTATGCTATTTTAAAAAGTTTATGGGCACATACTTTCAACACAAGCAGGAACAATGGTTAATTATGTAATTTAGATCATGATGACATTGACAAGTAATAGGTACCAAAAGTGTTTAAAATTCTGACTAAAATCTATCAAATTATAATTAGTATAACAAGTTAGGCCATTCATTGTTAGATCCTTAACATGGTGGCAACCTCTTGCCCAGACTCCTTTATGCTTCATATCATTGTAACTGTACTTACGTTATAGTAAAAAAGTGGAATTTGATACATCTTACTTGGCTAACTTGGGTAACGTATTAGAAGATGTTTCCTTATTGACCAGACACTTTCTACAGTTCTATCCCCATACAAACATATATGTTAACAATAATCTTAGTTATATATGAAAAAACGCAGGAGCTTATTCATATATACGTAGGAGTTAGTTATACATGTAAAAACTTATATAACTTAACTTAAAATATAATTGCCTACAAAAAAGTACTGGTTTCAATTAGCATTTAATAACTGTTAGATCAAAAATTGAAATAAAAATATTCACCTGGTAAAATAAACTTCTTGTATGTGAGGCATTGTTTTTGTCTCAGTTTCAAAGTTGATTGAAATTTTTCCACTGTCGGAAAACAATATTATTTTGTTACAACTTTTTTTACAAACTACACAAATTCCATTACAAAACTGTAATATCAAAACTGCATCAAAACTGAATTACGTATATTTTGCTGCTCAAAAAAATAATAAAACTTATGTCAGTGTTATATGTGTGCTAAAAAGTAGCGGGTTGTTAGAGTGAAAAGATGCATAAGAGTTTACTGATTATTAAACAGTTGAGAGTACTTAGTAAAGTAAGAATTCCTTGAAAATTTTAGCTTCTGGATCCGAAAAGATCCTGAAATATGATCATTTTACTTTTAACAGATCTTGGCCAGGCCCCTCTTGTCCTCTCAAAATTGTGACCGTTGTTTAAAGTTTCCAAGTCACATAGTTTTAAAAACAACTAGAGGACAGACAACTAGAGGGCCACAGGGTTGGGATACTGGTTGGGCCCCACTTATTTTCTCCACAAAAAAAAAAAAAATTTTTTAACAAAGTTAAGATAACTTTGAAAACATTGTCTTCAAATTTTTTCTTTGATTTATACTTGTTCCATTCAGTTTTGGATCAATCTATATTCAATGATCTTTCTTATAATATCTGAAGAAATTTCATTTTTTTCAGAATTTTGATTTGTGGATTAAATATATGGATTAAAAACAGTCATCCATCTAAAATAATGATTTTAACAGAATTTTACATTGTATAATTTAAAAGTTTTTAAATTGAAAAAAATTTATATATTTTAATGCTAAAACGTTAACTGCAAGTTGTTTAAATAAAACCCAACAGTAAAAAAAACATCCTGTCATAACATTATATTAATAAAAAATATATATATCACTTTTTAAAATTATTTGAATTGACATATGCTAATTCTAAAATGTTTAATGTTTTTTGTTACTTTTATCAAGGTTATTTTTAAAGTAAGAATGGATTCATGTGATTTTGGAAAACTGTTAAATGATACTTGTCATAAACTGATTTATTGTAGAAAGACTGGTTTAAAGAAATTTGATTGTTATAGAGAAGATGCCAGAGAAAAATTAATTTGGAGATCTGGAATTACAGATGACAAAATTGTAACAATCTGCATTCACCATGAAAAATTTTTTGGTACAAACTTTGAAAAGAAGCACATAAAATGTTGTAATTTATTGGACAAGCATAAATCGAAAAGAAAAGCAATCAAAGGTAAAGGTATCTGTTTTGAATAATAAAATTAAAATCTACTAGTTTATAAAAGTTTGAAAATAAGCTGGTTTGGTTATGCATTATATAATTGAAGTAAGAACAAATAGTTTTCATGTTCATAGGTAATCAATAAAAACAAATTATACTTTTTATTTCAGGTAGTCATGCAATAACATTAGATATGGCAAAAGAATTAAGAATCAATTTTCCAAATGTTGTGCCTGGATATCAACTTTGTCAAAGCTGCTATGATGCTATAAATAAATTTAATGAACAAGATATTTGTGAATTTGATCTTTTCAAGCGCAACTTTGAAAAAGAATCAGTCATGAGAGGCATTAAATGTTAGTCTTGAAATAATAGGGTTACCATAAAACTTTAAGACATTCCAAAGCATCAACGGTTATCTATTGCTAAAAGTAAAGTTAAAAAACTGTCAAAGTATGAAGATCATATTTCAAAAGCATATAATGTTAGCGAAGTAGAACTGAAACATAAAATTTCTCATACCAAAAGTATTGACAAAAGTAAATGCTATGATCTAGACAAACTAATGACAGAAATAAAAGAAAAGTTAGTCGTTTCTGACCGTAAAATTCAAATTCAGATGTTAACTTTTACACCTGAGTCTTAGTCAAGAAATTATGCTGCGCGATATTTTAATGTTCCTGAATACCAAATTAGAAAAGTGCGCAAACTAAAAAAAGTGGGATATTTGCAGTTCTAGACATAGTCAACAATATATACTGTGGTGAAGAATTTACTAGACAAATGCCTGGTAAAAAAGATTACATAAGTATAGGTAGAAAACAACACATGCAGAAGTGCTTGATTTTATGTAATCTTAAAGAATTGTATGTTTCTTTTAAAACTAAATATCCTCAAGAAGTTGTTGGTTTTCTATGTTTTGCAGTTTAAGACCAAAATGTACTTACAAAGATCTGATGATAAAAGTTGTTTGTGATGTGACAAGTAACGAGTGCATGATTCATTGATGTCCAAACTGTCCAGGTATGGTTTCTTTAAACAAGTTTCTGGATGCACAGCTAATTGACAATGACAATGACGAGGTGTCATCTAATCAGTGGCAGAAAACAGACAGAACAATATTGATCTGTCAGACAACAACAATTGAAGAATACAAATTGATGTTATCAGAGGCAATAAACAAGTTAACAACTCATTCCTATATTGCACTATGTTAAGCAAGATTCTTAAGGCAACAAAAGGAAAAGTTGACAAAAGACTGCTGTTTTTTTTAGGTAACTTTGCAGAAAACTACACGCTTGTGATTTAAGATGAAATCCAAAATTATTATTGGTGCAAAACTCAATGCACATTACACCCAGTTGCCCTCTATTTATTAAACAAAAATGACCAGCTTAAAGAAAAATCGTTTTGCTTTATGTCAGAAAACAATGAGCATGACACTGGTTTTGTGCATAAAGTTCAGACAAATAGTTAATTATTTAAAAGAATATCATCCTAACATTTCAAAGATTTTTTATTTTTCACGGTTTGCTGCACAGTATAAAAACCACTAAAACCTTACAATATCTGTCTCCATAAAGATGATTTTGACATTGATGCAGTGTGGAGATTTTTTGCTACAAGTCATGGTAAGTCATCATGTGATAGTATTGGTGGCACTGTAAAACGATTAACTGCAAATGCAAGTCTACAAAGGCCCATAAATGGCCAGATATTGCAATAAAATATTTGAATACTGTACAAACAATATTAAAGGGATTTTTTTTTTCAAGATTGAAAAAGAAAGACTGACAGAATTGCACACCACTTTGAAAACACATTTTCAACTAACTAAAACAATTCCTGTAACTAAGAGCTATCATCAATTTAACCCAGAATCTATAAATACTATCAGTTTTAAACGAACAAGTGAAGATGTTAATATAACGTAGTAACGCATAATATAACGTAGTAACGCATAATATAACGTAGCAACGCATAATATAACGTAGTAACGCATAATATAACGTAGTGATGCATTTTTTATTTTTCTGGTATTCAAAGATCTCAACCTGAGCAAATTAACATCAATACATTGAAATTAACATCAACACATTGAAATTTGGTGACTTTATTTTGTGTAAATATGGTTTGTTTCAATGGATTGGTATGATAAATGAAATTGACAATACTGAGTAAGATATTATGTTAAAATTTATGCACCACATGGTCCTTTTAACAAACTTTTCATCTAGAGCAGATAAATGTAGGGTTCCAATTACCAACATAATTTGTAGCATTGATGTAACAACAACTGGGCGTTTGTATACTTTGACCATTGATGCAAATATTAACAAAAACTTGACAATATTATTTTATATTTCATTTTGTAAACAGTTAAATAAAACAAATAATATAAATAGTATAAATAAGACAAAGTCTTCAAAGTTATCTTAACTTTGTTTAAAAAAATTTTTTTTTTTTTTTCAGAAAATAAGTGGGGCATGGCCCCTGGTGTCCCAACCCCATCTAGTTGTCTGCCCTGGAAACAAATTTAACACGCATTCATCAGAATTACACAATGCTGAAAGTTTCAGAGCTCCAGCTTGTCTGGAAAGAAGTGAAAAATCCATCTCAAGATTCCGCCTAAAAAAGTGGGGCACATGCCCCAGCCCTCTCCCTTAGTGTCATGAGCCCTAGAAACAATTTTAAAATACAAGTTTATCGGCACTACAAAAATGCCAAAAGTTTTAGAGCTCCAGCTACTCTGAA